ATCGATTAAATCTCCCTCTTAAATTCTATTATGATACTGAATTTTAAAAATTAATTAAATCTTTTAATTTATTTTTTAAAAATTATATATGTTGTTTTTAATTTTTTTAGAAATTTTGAATTTTAATTTTTAAAAAATTAGATATAAATACTAAATAATTTTTATATAATTTATAAATATTTTATTTTTATTTTTATATTTTACTTAAATTTACAGATATTGATATGGTATACTAAATGAAAAAAATATTTCTTCAGCAACATGAGATAAAGGGCGTGTTTGAATGTGTTTTTTTTTTTTTTTAAAACTGTTTTGAGAATGAAGTTTGAAAACTAATTTTGAGAGTAAAAAATTAATAAAACTTGTTTGAATATGGTTAGTTTTAAAGTTATAAAGAAGTTATAGTTATTTACAAAAATAGCCATTAATGAATCCTCATATTTACAAAATTGCCACTGAAAAATAATTTAAAATAAAATAAAAATCGATTTAATTACCAAAATGCCATTAATGAATCCCCTTAATTACAAAAAAGCCACCGCACAAAATAAGAAAGCAGAAAACAACGAAGCGAAAACACCCTGGAGCTGTTTTACTTTTTCTGTTTCTAAAACAACAAAACAGAAACGGTTTTAAAAACAAGAAGCGTGAAAACAGTGTTGTCAAACAAGTTTTTTTATTTTTTTTGTTTTTAAAAACAAAAAACTGTTTTACAAAACAGTTATCAAGTAGGCCCAAAGTTATTTCCAACAATCCCGAAATAACATTATTTTAAGGTTTAAACAAAAAAAATGTAAGGTATTTGAAAATTTTACTTTTTCCCTCGTAACATAAATTTATTAAAATATTTTGTATTTTATTCTCCAACATCAGAATGCTATTTTTTTATATTACAGGAAATAATTTTATATCGAAACAAATATTAATCTAGTAGTAAATACTTGTTAACAGTAAATGAATGCATAAATATTGTTTGATAAAGATCTTCTTGCAGATCATACTGAACATATCAGATTGTGAAAAATGATCCTTCAAGTCACTCCAAACCTCATTTGCTTTCTCGATCCAAAGTATGGATTGAACAATGGATTCATCTATCGAACGGTGAAGCCAGGACAACACCATCGTGTTACATCTCTCCCAAGCTCCATATCTTGCATCATTATCTGAAGGAGCAGTGATGGTTCCATCGACAAATGACAGCTTGTTCTTCGAGGTCAGAGCTACTTTCATTACTCTTGATCAAGCATGGTAATTCTTGTCGTTCATCGATGGAGAAACGAGAATTAACAAGGGGATTCATTAGGATGAAGATACCATGGATCTGAAATTTGATCCTGTTCTGCCATAAATTCAGTGGCGTAGCTACTTTAGTGCCTGCTGGTACCTTGGCACTAGCTCACTTTTAATAAATTGTACTTACTATATATAATTATACAATTAATTATAATTTAGTCATGGTTAAAATTATAATTTGGCACTACCTAAAAATTAAAATATATATTTTGATATACAAATAGAAATTAAACACACAACTTAATACAAATTACTCAAATATTTCACCACTCCTTGTGACTTAATTAAAATATATTTACAAATTATCCAAGTCAAATATCTGTTCTCTGTCTCTACGTTAGTCTAGCTACAAATTACCCAAACACGCAACCCGACATGTTGCTCGAAGGTCTTCTCATTATAGCAGGGAGGTGCAAGAAAGGGGGTTCATTTTGAAAGCTTTAAAAAAGCTTTAAAAAAAGTGTAAAAAAAGATAGAGAGGAAAAGGAAAAATATGAAGTTTGACTACAAGTGATGGAGTTGACTTTGGTCAACATTAAATCACTAATCCATGACTTAATCATTTAACGTGAATTTTAACACATGGTTAGGGTAAAAAAAGATAGAGAAGAAATGGAAAAATATCAGTTGCTCAAAGGTCTTCTCATTAAATCACTTGGTTGACTTTGGTCAACATTTCACACATGGTCAATTACCATTATATTCTTCTTCACTAATCCATGACTTAATCATTTAACGTGAATTTTAACCTTCACCAAAACCATTTATTAGTTTCTCACTAGATTATTTTCAAGTTTGAGATAACTTTTGCATAATTGCATTTATACTTCAAAACTTTTACTATTTACACTTTTGCCCAAAAGTGACTTTATTTCACATAATTAAACCTTTTATCTAATTATTCTCTCTTAGTCATGATTAAATTCTTAACCAACTTACAAATTCATAATTTATATGTTAGGGTTATTATAAAAGGGGTGGAAAAACCTGTCCTGTAAAGTTGACCATTGATAATGATATAGTTAAGCACTTACATCAAACATAAAACTAACTCAATTTACATATAGTAACTTAGGCCAAAAATAAAATTATATTAACTACTTGTGCTATGCATGTATGGCTTGAAAAAATTAGTTTAATCATATGTTATGAAACTTGATTAAGCAAAATATACTTGTTAATTACTTAATTATAGATTAAGCTCACACGAATAAATTAATTTACCAAAAATCAATCCAATGAAAAAAAAAGTCAATTAACCGGTTAGACTTTAAAAACTTAGAATGGTTCTTCAAAAGGATTACATCAACCATTTCTTTTAAAAAATTAAATCTAATTGCTTTCAATTACTTGATTATATGCATTTTTCACACATTTGAGAATCATATAATTATTAACCGCATTAAATTACTTTTAGCTAAATTACTTAAATTTATGAGTAAATATCATTTCTGGTCCTCAGCAAATTTCACGATGCCCGTTTTAGTCCTTAGCAAATAAAAAGGCCCATCGTGGTCCCTAAGAAATTCAAAATGGACCCATTTAATTGAAATTGTTGTCCCTCACAAATTCAAAAAAAACTTATATTAGTCCCTAAAAGGACTAAAATTGGTCCATTTTGAATTTTTTAGGGACCACGATGAGCCTTTTTATTTGCTAGGGACTAAAGCGGGCATCGTGAAATTTGCTGAGGACCAAAAATGATATTTACTCTAAATTTATTAAACAATCACATTTTTATATAAGTAAATATTTTTTTGGTCCTCAGCAAATTTCTCGATGTCCGCTTTAGTTCCTAGCAAATGAAAATGTCCATCGTGGTCCCTAAAAAATTCAAAATGGATCCATTTTAGTCATTTTAGGGACTAATTTGGGTCTTTTTTGAATTTGTGAGTGACCACAATTTTAACTAAATGGGTCCATTTTGAATTTTTTAGGGACCACGATGGGCCTTTTTATTTGCTAGGGACTAAAACTGACATCTTAAAATTTACTGAGGACCAAAAAGGATATTTACTCTTTTTATATTAAATTACTTCCTGTTAATAGTCAATTTATGATCACGTTATGAAAATTCAATAATAATTAATTACTTGTAAAATAAAGAGGTTTGTATTAATGTTATAAAAACTAAACCGGACTAGCCAATTCAACTGGTTCAATAAAAAATCAGACCACCTACAGATCCGATCTAGCCAATGAATCGTTTATACAATTGAACAAGTATCAAACTAGCCAATGAATCGTTTATACAATTGAACAAGTATCAAACCGGTATTAAATTGGGTTTTACAATTATAACAATTTTTGAAATTTTGTACAAAATATTTGAACACTAGTGGGATTTGAACATGCATCAGATAAAGAATACAAGTGACCTCAACCACTCTGCCACGTGTGTTATTTTGCTAGTACTATACAAACTTTTGTAAAAATCCATTTCAACCAGTTCGATTAATGACTCTCACTGATTGATTTAGTAACTTATTAACCAGGTATAATAACATTAGTTTGTAGGATTCAAAGAATAACATCAAATTACTTTTGATCTTATTCCTATTAAGCATTATGATGAATCACATAGCAGAGAATTTTGATAAGATGAATTAATTACATTGAGTGAATTAATGATCAACAGAGTTTTTGTTTATATAAGCGAATATAATTTGAATTAAGTGCGAAAGTGTGATTAGAATGCTACCAATAATAGACACATTAGGGGTCCACCGTTCTTTGAAAGACACTTGTATGAAAGTGTTCTTTTTTTTTTGGATAACAAGCCAAAACCAACACACTTGCATTAAAGTGTTTCTATTCTGAGTCAAGCACATACGCTGCCATTCCAACCCCTATTACATCTCGTGACGCGCATGTATTAAAGTGTTTCTGCTGGATCAGAATCAAGTTACAACAGAAGAAAAAAATAAGCTGGCCCGTAATGATAGAGTATATGGCCAAAAAATTTGATAAAAAATAAATAAAATAAAATAAAATCCTGGTCAACAATAGAACGCTTTGAGTCATAATCATTTTGTCAATGCGGCAATTGCTGTCAGGATGTTTATCAAAGTGGACATTTACTGTGAGGATGTCCCACCTAACCTCCCTTGAATGTTCATCGGATCTAACTTTTACATTGAATACAGCATATTATTTGGATCATGATATGCATTCCACGCCGCCGCCAAAGAATTATCCCTAGAAAATTTCTCAAGCTAAAATGCACTTTCTTGACTTTTCATATGCCCCTTCACTGTAATTATTTTTCATTCTGGATATATGTACAAATAGAGGTGATATATATATATATACATAGCATGAGATAAGTTGTCCCATGCAATATATAAAAAAGTGAGCGGGATCTGTTAAGAAAAAAAGAGAGAAAGAAAAAAGTGAGTCTTATCTATTTTTTTGTGTTGCATGAGACAACTTGTCTCGTGCAACATGAGAAAAACATATTCCATATATATATATGGGTTTGATTTTTTTCATGTTGCATGAGAATTCAATTCTCATGTTGTGATTCAACTAGTGAAGGGATCCACATTTATTAAAAAAATAAAAAATAAAAGTTTTACACATAAATCAAAATATCATAATATGAGAATTGAATTCTAACACAACGTTGAAAAAATATTTTTTCGTATATATATATATATTTGAACACATCCGAGTCACAGGTCTGGAAAGCTCTTTATTCCACAATGGTGTCATTTCTGCACTTGCTTCTAGCTCTTCCTCTGTTGGTATGGGTCCTTTTGCAGTTATATAAAACCATTAAGAACCCATCAACCCGTCCACCAGGTCCAAAAGGCCTTCCCATCATTGGCAATCTTCATCAACTTGATAGTTCAAATCTCCATTTTCAACTATGGAAGCTCTCAAAGATCTATGGATCCCTTTTTTCCTTGCAAATTGGCTTTAAGCAAGCCATTGTTATTTCCACACCTAAACTAGCAAAAGAGGTCCTCAAAGACCATGATCATGATGTATGTAGTAGACCTCCCTCCACTGGCCAACAAAAATTGTCTTACAATGGTTTAGAGATGATATTTTCCCCTTATAATGAATACTGGAGAGAAATCAGAAAAATTTGTGTAGTCCATTTCTTCAGCTCCAAACGGATCTCTAGCTTTTCCCATGTAAGAAAATTTGAGGTCAAGCAAATGATTAAAAAGATATCTGGACATGCTAATTCTTCCAAAGTTACCAACTTGAGTGAGATCATAATGTCTGTCTCAAGTGCCACAATCTGTAGGATGGCTTTTGGGAGAAAATATGAAGAGGAAGGAGCAGAAAGAAGCAAGTTCCATGGGCTGCTTAATGAGTCACAGGCCATGTTCCTTTCCTTCTTTGTTTCAGATTATATTCCTTTCATGGGGTGGATTGATAAACTCACTGGGTTATTTTCTCGTCTTGAAAACACTCACAAGGCATTGGATGTGTTTTTCCAACAAGTCATTGAAGAGCACCTTAATCCTAATAGGCAGAAAGAAACCGAAGACGAGGATATAGTTGATGTCTTACTTCAGCTGAAGAAGCAGGGTCGCTTGTCTATTGACCTCACCAATGATCACATCAAAGCTGTCATCATGGTATGTTAATTCTCATGTTTTTCCTTCCCCTTCTTCTTCTTCTTTTTTCTTGTTTTCTATTTTTCTTTTTATAACTCATATGTTCAGAGATTCATAAATCGTTAAAATTGTTAGACTACAGAATTCTAGCCTTCACTAGAAATAATTACAGAATGGATTCGGTCAAAGTATTAGAATTAGATGGATTCGTTTACCTATGACTCATATAAAACACTGTGAAATTCAACTTTCGTATGAGCTTGACTAACACACCTTTAACTTTTACATTACACCACCACCAATCCTTACTCATCTGATTGATAGCTAAGAAACCATTTCATCATCATCCATATTTAGAGTGGTGTGACTTTGATGATATTTTATTCAAAATCAAGTTTCAAGTAAACAGAAAAAAAAGAAAATAATTTCCCTGATACAAGCTTATAATTGCTCGTTCTTGAACAATCACA